ACTGAGAAGGCTCTCTTCCGCGTAGTCGCCAGTCTCTGCACTCTTTCTAGAGTCTCAACATCTTTTTTACATTGTGGCAACCAAAACTGGATGCAGTATTCCAAGTGCGGCCTTACCAAGGCATTATAAAGTGGTATTAACACTTCAACTGATCTTGATTCTATCCCTCTGTTTATGTAGCCTAGAACTGTGTTGGCTTTTTTGGCAGCTGCTGCACACGTTATAAATTATATGCATCCACTGAAGTTAGCTCTGGCTGCAGTTATTATCCATTGACTTTAAGCTTTTCCATTACCATAGGCTGTGAAATAAATTAATTTATTATCTCTTAATCCTATACATAAGAAAAGCATTTTAGAATTTTGGGACATCCCCTGATTTGCTAGCTGAAGTCAACAGTTAATTGGATCACAGCCAAATCCTAGCACATTGTTTCCTTTGTTTTCTTTCATACCTACTACTTTGACTTGGAAGAACATATGCTTCATATTAATCCTTTGTGGATGCCTAGAAAAATAAGATTCAGCTATCACAAACTATTCCGTTGCTTCAGGTTAAATGCTCAATGTATGCCTTTAAACAATGCAGTTGTGTTGAAGTGCATCAGACTTAAGTGTGAACTGATGCTGTTCATTCCATACAAGTATGTTGTGCTTTTTTCTGCTAACAAGTTCTGCTAGTGAGATATGGGAGTTTTATACTGATTAAAGTTGAACAGGACAAATTATTTTTCTCTTTCCTCTGGCATCTAAGTCACAAACAATTTGTTTCCTTTTTTTCTGTAGCCATGCAGTGTGCATCTTCTATTTGGTTCTCCGAGCTCTGGATACTGTAGAAGATGACATGACTATCAGTCTTGAAGCTAAGGTCCCCATGTTACACAATTTTCACTCCTACTTATATCAGCCAGACTGGAAATTTATGGACAGCAGAGAGAAGGACAGACAAGTACTAGAAGACTTTCCAACGGTGAGTGGTGCCTCTCATTCATTTATGCAGTTAAAATATCCCTGCGCTAAGGCGCTTTCCCCCTTGACTTTAGTAAAATCAGATATATTAGCATCTGTTTAGAAGTGTGAAAGTTCCCTGTCCTAGAACTTTAGAGGTGCCGTTTCTTGAAAATTGAAATCAGAACTGTACTACATACAGTTGCTTTTATATGTACATCTGCATTACATGGTAGTCTATTAGATGTGTGAGGAACTGGTGCAGACCCTTCACATACATAATTGAGTATCTTGATTCAGTAAGTTTTTCCTTTGAGTTTACATGCATTAAAGATGTATTTTCATATTAACGTAGTTCAGAGTTGATCATTTGTAGTAAGTGGCTTCCCAGATAGTTTTTTGGTAGTTATCAGGATTGCTTAGAATTCTGCTGAGAAATGGCAAATTACAAGTGCTTCCTTTTCATTTCAAGCAAAATTTTGGTAGAAGAAAACAAAATGCATTAGCGCTTTGGAAAGGCACAATACAAATTAAACTTAAGGTTTTCCCCAAAACGTGTCTGCATATTTTGTGTTATTATTACTATGATGCCTGAACAAATCATTTTAAAAATCTGCAGAAGAATTATCCATAAGAATTTACAAGAAGCAGATATTTCATCACAGGATTTAGGTGGATATTTGTACCATTGGTGTAGTAGGGTTATTGGTTTAAAAGTAAATAGGATAAATTTATGAAGAATTGGGGTAGCACAGGTTTTAGTCTAATGCAGGGTATTAAACTTGCATTGTCAAGTGACGTATTGCACCCCCCCCCCTTTTGTAAACTGAGCATGGGTGTGGCCAGCACGTGATGCATCCGGCCCTTGGACCATGAGTTTGACACCCCTGTTCCAATTGTTATTGCTAGCCTCAGTCCCAGGTAAACGTTAAATAACAACTGCTAGGAGGCAACAGTTGAAGTACATGTTTATACTTAGGAGCTTCCTGAATATCTGTAGTCACTGGATGGGTTTTTAGCATGATGCTGCCAGTAACGTACTTTCATGGCACACTGGCAAAAACGTGCTTTGCAATGTAATCTGTGTAAATTAAACTCTGACATTGATTTAATCTCCAAAACAATTCTTTTTAAACAATTACAGCATTTTATAGGCATGTTGCGCTCAAGAGGAAAGGAAGTAGCAAGAATTAAGGAATAGCTTTCAAATAGTTATGTATCCTTCCTAATGAAGTTTGCAGAACTAATTAGTAAGAAAAATCATTTTGCCCTTATTTCTTTGGAAGTAGTATGATCTGCTTTAAACTTGAGTGCATTGATTTTGGTCCTCCTGGATAGAAATAACTTGTCCAAGTATCTTTTTTCTAAGTATATTTCCTGTATTACTCAAATATATATGACATTTGATTGTGGTAAATTCAAGATTAAAGGACTGCTGAAATATTTTTTAACTTTATATGCATGGAACCTAAAATTAGCATTTTTGAGCTCCTTATTAATTTAGAAAGGTTTTTTTGGGGGTAGGGGTAGGGGTAGGGAGAGACACATTATCATTTTCTATGATCCCATTTCTTCTCTTGCCTTTAGATTTCCCTGGAGTTCCGGAATTTGGCAAAAGTCTATCAAGATGTGATTACTGACATTTGTCACAAGATGGGTCTTGGTATGGCAGAGTTTTTGGAAAAGAAGGTGAATTCTAACAAAGAGTGGGACAAGGTGAGTGAGTTCGGAGGGGGGTATAAATTATCCTAGCAAACCTGTATGTTAGCTATAACCATTAAGTTTACAATACAGAGACTATCAAAATCTTCTATTCAATGAGGCTTTTAAAATGTAATGTCCATGAGCATGGGAACAAAATATTTAAGGAGAAACAATACAAGTGAATAGCTTCTATAGAACAAGGAAAAAGTGGTATTCAGACAGATGTTGGGGGCTGTTTCTTTAGCTCAAAAGAGATGATCCCTGCAGTTTAGGTGTCTTGGAATTGGAGTTGGTCTTCAATATGGATTTAGTTCACTCATTACCATAAGGTTGGCATAAAGAACTTTAATCACCCAAGATCTGTTGCAGACTTTGAGTGACATATCATTACCTCAACCTCTTAAAAAGAATAGCCCTGAGAATTGTATTGGCAAGGTTTTGGGGTTTTAAAGGCTGAACTTTTGGCTCTTAAACTCACTCCAAAACAACCCATTTGTAACAGTGGCTGTACAAATGTTCCTAGCAGTTTACATTGTAAACTAAGTTTACATTGGGTTTTTCTTTCTTTCTTTCATTAGCAAAAATAATTCAAGGAAGGAAATTGTACAGTTTGGCAGCTGCAGCTTTTATGGACTGAACTAGATTTTTAAAAGCATCTTAATAAAGCTCTGAATGTTCCAATCTACAGTATTGCCACTATGTTGCTGGCCTGGTGGGAATTGGCCTCTCTCGACTCTTCTCTGCCTCAGAATTAGAAGATCCTGTTGTCGGTCATGATGTAGAACTGGCTAACTCCATGGGACTCTTTCTGCAGAAAACCAACATCATTAGGGACTATCTGGAGGACCAACTTGAGGGCAGAGAATTCTGGCCCAAAGAGGTAAAGGAAAAAAGTATGATAGATGTCAGGAAGAGGTCTTAACTCAATGGTATGAATGTGTACAGCATGCCAAACCTGCTAGATTCTATCCTGATTTATGCTGTTTAATTGATGTAGCATATGATTGCAACTTTTTCTGCCCAGGGATCCTATCTAGTGATAGCGTTTGGATTTGAGGCTGCATATATCTACACATAAGTGGTCTCATTCACATCAAAGATGTTCCAATTGTCCTTAAGATTGATGGAGTAAGGTTGAATGACAACTTTTGCAATCAGAGATAATGCTTCCCTACTGCTAATTGCAGCATGGAAATATCCTCTGTCTTTCTTTATGACTATTATTACTGCTGTTTTGTTACTAAATTATGGCTGCTAAGAGGCTTATATACTATAGTTTTTGAGATGGGCATACTGACTGCTATTTTGACATTCTGATCAACAATCAGAAGGTCAGAGAAATCTTTTTCAGAAACTGCTCTAGCAGCCATTTTGTGAAAACTCAATGATTGATCATAGTGGTCTCCTAATACCTCCCAGAATGGCTTCTAATCTAGATGGTCCTTGACTTATGATTATTTGTTTAGTGACTGATCTAAATTACAACAGTGCTATATGAATAGAGTTTATGGCAACTACCCATAAACCAGCAAATCTCAGCTGTGAAAAGTGATCTCAACAACCTTGATCTCTTGGTGTTTCTAGGTTTGGAGCAAATATGTGAAGAAGCTGTCAGATCTGGCTAAACCAGAGAACATTGACAAAGCCGTCCAGTGTATGAATGAGCTCATTACCAACGCCCTACATCATGTTCCTGATGTCTTGACATATTTGTCCCGCTTGAAGAATCAAAGTGTGTTCAATTTCTGTGCTATTCCACAGGTAAATTGAATTGTCTTTTTTACTTTTGTTTACTTACTACATTTAAAATCCTGCCAAATCGATCAAAGATTCCTGGCAGTTCACAGTTAACAAAGCAACCATTGTTCAAAAACTCAGTTAAAACATTCAGAATGAATAAAATAATAATTAGGAGTAGGAGTAATAGCAAAGTTAATTGCTAAATACCTTCTGGAAGAGCTCTGTCTTAACCATCTTTTGGATCATCAATAAAAAAGGGAACTGATTTTTAAATGAATGATCCCTAATCAACAATGCCTCCTAGAATTCCAGATCAAGCCTAACTTGGGTGACTAACTTAAAAAGCTTTGAACTTAAGATATTTTGGTTGGGAGATTGCTAGAAAGGTTAGGGTTGTACACTAGAAAATATCCTGGAAAAAGGCAGCAAATAATCAATTTTACTCGTATAAGCATACAGTAGATAATGAGCTTGTTGTTATTCATCACTAGATTAGAAGTCTAATTACGCTATTTTAAAATAGACTTTGATAACATGAGATTCATCATGTGATGGGTACCCATTGTCATAACAGTATGACAAATAACTTGGGTTATTCATTTGTTATCCTGAGTCAAAAAATGAAAAAGGATGGAAAAATGCTGGAAAAAGAATGGAAAAATTGTGTTTTTGTATGGCATGTAGTCTTTTCTGCTTTTCACTATTGCTGGGATTATTCTTATAAACCTAAGTTAACTAAAAAATAGTTGCTGTGTTTATAAAAACTTTAAGGCCTAAATATACTTATGGCATAATATAACACTTGGTTCATGTAACTTGCTAAGAAAGTGGCTAGACTCTTACAACATGCTGAAAAACTCTTGGTTTTGCCTTACTTAGGAAGTGATATTAAAACAACCTTAAACACTAAGACTTTTATGGGCTTCTGGTTTGTTACCTTGTAAGAAGGTGCATTCCGCTTGAGGCACTTGATGATGATTCCTGCCCTAAGGAATCTGTCCAGGAACGTAGCATTCCTTTCTGTAGGTAGTGTTGTTGAACATTTGTGCTATTTATTATTCATTCACTGTTCTTTGGCCATGGCTGGTGTGTGTGTGTATACATATATATGTATATATGTATAGAGCCAATTTGTTGTAATGGTTAAAACATCAGGCTACAAACCAGGAGACTGAGTACTACTCCCACCTTAGGCATAAAGCCAGCTGGATGGAGCTTAGACCAGTCATTTTCCTTCAGCCATAGGAAGGAGGCAAGGGCAAACCACTTCTGCAAAACTTTACCAAGAAAATTACAGCGACTTGTCCAGGAAGTCTCCAACAATTGAACACAGCTGGACAGAAGGGAAAAAATATTTATCACATTTATATAGCTGTCCTTCTCACATATGTGACTTTGTAGGCTATTTTATAAAACTCAAAGCCTTTAATTAGCATATTAATCTTCATAAATAACAAAAAAATTTTTTAAAGTAGCTCAGTGTTTTTCTTTGGAGCCTGGTTGTGCACAACTATACGAACACCTGCTGATCTTGATCATAAGCCCTTTATCTCCTCTTTCCTGCCCAGGTGATGGCTATAGCCACCTTGGCAGCCTGCTACAACAACCAACAGATCTTCAAAGGTGTGGTGAAGATTCGAAAGGGACAAGCAGTCACATTGATGATGGATGCTACTAACATACAGGCTGTCAAAACCATCATGTACCAATATATGGAAGAGGTGAGTTGGGAGAGCCTAGAGATTGAGTTCCTGATGTAAGTGCCTTTTAGTGGGAAAATGTTCGTGTGTTAGCATGAATTCCTGTACAGATGTATGGAAGTCACCAGCATCTGCCTTTTCACGTTGAAACTCTGTAAAGAGGGAGAGCAAATTTTGCACAGCATGATGTAAAGCTTAGGAAGTTGGATTTGGTCTAGGATGATCTGGCTTTGATATCCAGGAGATGCTAAGACTGAATCTAGGGTAGGGGAAGATAACTCAACATGGTTGTAAGTGGAAATTTGAACATTTGCAGTTGCCGTCATTAAGCAAATCATTTCAGATCATTAAAGAGTCATGTGGTCACCATTATTATGACCTGCCAGCTTCCTCACTGTCTTTGCTTGTAAGTTGGCAAAGGTTGCAAATGGCGATTATGTGACTGCAAGAACCCTGTCATCAACATAAGTATGAGGATGGCTCAGAACCACTATTTCTTTAGCCCCATTGTATGTTTGAATAGTGTTGACAAATAGTCATTAAGCAAGGACTATCTGTTGTGCTATTCTATCTCTTGGGCTATTCTATATATTTGTTGCTACGAATTCCTTCAAAAGAAACACTAAAATGTGTAATATTTCAACATGGAGAGCACATGGCATTTGGAAAAGTCATCGAGCAAAAAGGACTGAACTGGTATAATGAAGTCCTCTCTCCCATGAATTCTCTCCATGCTGTCTGTCCTTTCCTTCCAGGTGCGGCTTCTCACATTTTTCACTAGCTAATGAGAGGAAGAGGAAAAAAAAGAAAGGAATGGAAAAGGGTTGCTGGTTTCTCATGGGAATTGTTTGTAAGGAGGAGAGAGGGGAATTTCACAGACGTCTAATGGAAACATAGCAAAAGCTCTAGCTTGGCAAAAAAACTAGAGTACCACAAATTCACAGAGCCCTGTTGCACAGGCTTGTTTAAGAACTGTTCTTTATCTAGTAGTGCAATTACCTTTTCTTCTCTTAAACCAAATTACAGCTATGCCAAGCTCATCCTTTGGAAACACAAAATGGGGCTCTAATGATGATCTTAAAAAGCCCAAATTTAATATTTTACTGCAAATTACCGTATTTTCACCCATATAACCCGCNCAAAACTGAATGCAGTATTCCAAGTGTGGCCTTACCAAGGCATTATAAAGTGGAATTAACACTTCACCTGATCTTGATTCTCTGTGGCTACTTTGGCTTTCATCCTTCTGTGGTCCTAAAGGGACAGATACTAAAAGAAGTAAGAAAAGAAGTGTAAAAAATGTCTATCAGCCTTAGTATTGACTCTGATTATATCACTGAAATTTATTAAAATATAGTAAAGAGCCGCCAAAGCTTCTTTGAAATAACTGTCATAACTTTATGTAGTGAGAACTAGTAACTTTAAAAGTTGTATCGTTACTACATCTTGCACCTCCCCCAGAGCAAGGAATGTCTTTTAAAGTATACAAAATTAATTTAAAACCGTTGTGAATGTAGAAAGTTATCACCCAGCCCTCTCCCAGAAAAATGATATCCTAGGAAATATTGAAAAGGCAGAATATATATTTCCCTGGATGTGAAAAGGGAGAAACATGTTTTAAAGACAGAGTAGCTTCCTGCCTCCCCCCTTTGTCAATGAGCCATTAAAGCCTGAACTAGTGTACTTTACATAAAAAGGTAGTATCAGCTTTTCACAGAACTCACCACTTGGCATTTGAGAACTCAATCAAACTTGGGATTCAAAACATAGCTTAGAGAGTTGCCCCTGCTGTCCCCATGGGAATCTGACAACCAATCAGAATACATTTCTTACCCAGGAACAGGAAACAGAGAGGTGGGGCTGAACAGAGTATAAAAAGCCCAGAAAACCCCTTCCTCAGCCCTTCTCTTCTTCTTCACCCAACATTGAAGCATGTGATCCCCCTTTTCTATTCAGGACTCAAGCCATGTGGTCCTGTCCACCATTAAACCATCTTTCCAAGCAGTCTCCAGTCTTTTCCCCCCACTTGGAGCTGAACCCAGGTCATTTCTTCCAACGTGTAAAAATCATAGTATATTCTCTTCCCACAAATTTCTTATAAATCCAAATATCACATATTGTTTAATCAAAACAGTTAATGGATTAGCATTTGCGCAAAAGCACACAGAAATTATGGCTCATGAAAAATCATGAAAGTATTTGTTCAGTGTTTTGTTTTTGAAATATATTTGCTGCAGCTCAA